TTTCCCTCTTTTCCTTACCTGCCTTCTAAAGTGGAGGAGAAAGGAGTTCCCTTCTTTGAGCTCTTAGAGACCGTTAACAGGAAGCCTCAATGGCTCTTGACCAGAGTTTAGGCCCATTTTATTTAAAAATGGCTTTTGTTCCTTCCCTCCTTTACAGTTCAGGTTTGATTTGTGTCCTACCAACCACCTTTTCTTAGTAAAGGAAGAAAACTATACCCAGTTAACTTGCATTCTGACTTTTTCCTATCTATTTACATTGCCTTGAGGCCTCAGTGGCCAAATCTTGGTAGTTTTCTCCCCAGTTCCCAAAATTTTGGCAAAAATTCCATTGATTCCCTTTTAGGGAATCACATTGATGGCCTCTTAGAGCTGAATCTGGCAATTCAAGTCTCCTTTAATGTATGAAAAATATTTTAATCACGATCTTATATTTTAGACTTCTCTTCATTGTAGCCCAGCATATAATATACAGCTTAGTCAGGGAGTCTCCCTCATAAAATTTGCATTATATGAGAAGCTAGCAAACTAGAGGTGGACATCGGTTTCACCTGTTGGAGAGCCAGGGTTGGGCAGTAATCTTTTTGTAATTGATTGCCCTTTTCACCCCTTATACAAAATGACTTAGTATTGCTGGTTGTAACTTACTTTTTTTCCCCCTCTATTCTGGAAAATTAAAATGAAATTTGAAGTAATCCAGCCAATTTCAAATACACATACATAAAACTCATTTAGATCTTTTAGGCCTCTGATTGTTCAGATCCTCCCAGAATGTGTAACCCTGGCTTTAATGTTTGCAGATTCTGTGGTCTTCAGTAGGTCATGGTTGAGAGTAGCAGGGTTGGGGATTTGACATGTACCAAACAGCTTGTTCTCCCTGGTCTTGAGTTTCCCCCTACCTGGGAAGAGGCCTTTGAACCAGACAATTTGCTAATTTTCTGTACACTTTTTTTTTTTTTTTGCGTTACGTGGGCCTCTCACTGTTGTGGCCTCTCCTGTTGCGGAGCACAGGCTCCGGACGCGCAGGCTCAGCGGCCATGGCTCATGGGCCTAGCCGCTCCGCGGCATGTGGGACCTTCCCGGACCGGGGCACGAACCCACGTCCCCTGCATCGGCAGGCGGATTCTCAACCACTGCGCCACCAGGGAAGCCCTTTGTACATTCTTACATTGGGAGATTCTAAGTCCTCCTGGTTGTCTGTAAGTCTACAGATCTGCAGTTTAACTGGAAAACTAGACTCAACATCCATTCTTTCAGTGTTTACTGCCAGTTTAGTCTCCTAAAGTTATGGAAGTGGACCTTATTAGCTACCCTGATACAGATTCTCAATTTCTGGCAGAGTTATGTAAATTACAAATAATACTTGACTGTGGATCTTTCTCATCTGATCTGCTCTCCCTTAGGTCTTACGTGCATGTTCTTTCAAGCTTGTTTCCTGTGAAACCACTTCTCTGCAGTTTGACTGTGTGAGTTCCTTCTAAAGGGTAAACTGTTCTGAACTTGGCCCAAGGGAGACTGTAGCCTTAGGTGCCAATCTCCCAATTGCTGGAGACATCTTCCTTTTTTCCTTCCTGGTCGTCACCATCTATTCCTTGGATTCCTTAGCAGATATTTATTGTACGAGGCTCTAGGCAAGGAGAATAAAGCAGGTGCCCAGAGTATAGTTTGCTTTAAAGAGAGAGTGAAGGATATTAGGTGACAGTAGTAGGCCTTAATATCTTACCAGTCTGCTTCCAAAAGCACCCTACCTGTCTGACAGTCTGATAGGACTCATTTTTAATTATTTCTTTATTTAACAAAGATGTATCTCCATTTGCCTGCCTTTGTGCTAAGCTCTGGTACAAAGATACCCTGCCCACATATAGTGACCTACTATTAGGCAAATGGATATGAAATGGTAGTGCCAGAAGAGCTTGAGTAATGTACGTAGAAGTGCTCCACTGCATTTTCATGGAAGGCTTGAAAAACATTTTTTCCTGTAATGTTTCCACTAATTCAAGTGCAGGGTGGCTCCTGGACCTTTTAGGAAGGTTCTTCCACTATTACTTTGACTTAACTCTCCCATGAAGAATATTGATTTGACTTTGCAACTTGGCAAGAGTTGTCTTTAGCATAACCTCATTTTCTATACACAGACCCAGAGACACAATGGTAATTGTTTTGTTTAGAGAGAACCCCAGGTTCTTGCCTATTAAGTTTTTTTTTTTCCTCTAGATATTTCATGCCCAGTAGCTATTATATATGCTCCTTACTTCTTCCCTGCAGGTGAGAAATGAGCGAGTTTATGTGATGTCTTGTTTGGTATTCAAGTAAATTCAAAAACTATTTGGGGATAGTAGGGCACCTATAGGGTGTGGCTCTGCCAAGTCTTCTACGATCTTGAGCAAAAGAACACCTCCTGTATTTAATAATTATTAAAAACTACTTCATTAGTTGAACAGGTTATTTAGTAGGTAGTAGATTTATCATTGAAAAATAATTTTGGGGATTGTTTTCTCAGTATATTCTAAAGATGTTAAAATAAGTAGTATAGTAGTTCTCAAGTCTCTCACTAGTATCAGCATCATCTGAATTTGTTAACATTCAAATTTTTAGGCCTCACATTACATCTACTGAATCAGAAACTGGCTGTGGCCCCAAAATCTCTTTTAATAAGCCCTTGAGGTGGTTCTGATCCATGCTAAAATTTGAGAACCTCTGATCTGGTATATATTATGGCTTCAATCTGGTCAATGATAGTAGTAAATAAAAATAGAATATTAGAGATTTAGCAGGATTTTTTTTTTTTTCAGAACAAATGGTTTAAAAAATACAGCCTTAGCTGACATTTTCATTTATTTTTGATACCAGATATAAAATAGGAATAGATATTACACAGCCTAGGAAGGAACACAACCAAAATTTAAATGGAGCTAGAACAAATCTTTTAGCATAATATCTAAAATATACATGTTCTGCCTTTTTGGCTAATCAGATTGTCAGATTTGTCAGATTCTTCAAGCTAAACAATCTTGAAGAATTCTTTTAGAAAAAAAAATTTTGCTTTGCTTTTGATCACAGAGAAAAATGGAAACGGGAGCCCTCAGAAGATGAACAGGAACAAGGCACCAGTGCAGAGAGCGAACCAGAGCAAAAAAAAGTGAAAGCCAGAAGACCTGTCCCCAGAAGGTGCAGTGTTTGCTTGAACATCTCTGCTTCTGGTCGAGCTTAGTTTGTGTTAGCTTGAGAAGGATGATGTAGTGCTAGCCAGAAGGCCTTAATTGATGGGGTACAGTGTGTTGTGATTCCAGATTTTGAATGCCTGGTTAACTTCTTGCCAGCCTGCATCATTAGCAAGTAATTCGATTACTGAGCTACTTATACTGATTTTGTGTGTTTGCATGGTATGTAGCTCAGAGTGGATCTTACTGTTCATACTCCAGGCAGACTAGTTATGAGGAGCGAATGTATATCTTCCACTCTTAAAAAAAGCTCCCTGTGTATTTGACTAGTGTACAAGTTCTTTTTGGGAGAACTAATTGTTAAGTTTAATGGGCTGGTTCAAAGCATACTTTACTGTTTATTATCCTGTTCTCATAATCTTTATAACGTTAAGCAGAGAATCTGTGCAGGGAAGGAAGTAGGTGGAGATGAGAGGAAACTGGTAATTTTTGATCAGACATATGGCAGTGAAAGGTACTGGTGATGGGGAACGGAAGGCAGGAGGCAGAGGGGCCCCAGGAAGATTTACCTCCTTGCAGTATTGCTTAGGATGCTTTTGGCAAATATTGACTTTGGGCCAGATCCCACTCACCACCTATTTTTGTATGCCCTGCAAACTCAATATAGCTTTTATAGGTGAACATTTGTAGTTTGGTGATGGGGAACACTAAATTTGAACCCTAGCGAAGTGAAATGTTATCACTTCAAAAAGAATTCTGTTCTTCTCGTTAATAGATGTTATATCACACAAAAAAAGTACTCAATGATTATTATTATTTTATTTTGACTTTCGTCAATAATATATTTGTTAAAATTTATTTTCTTTTGTTATATAAGTACCTATGTAGTGGCCTCAACTTTGCCTCTTGTCTGAGAAAGTAAAAGATACTTATCCTCTGGCCATTTACAGCAAATGTGTCTATCCCTGGCTTAGGACGTTGTACCTGACCCCTCACCTCCCACCCAGGCAGGGAAATTCATCAGTGAGTTTTGTCTCCTTTCTTCTCAGTTTCAGTTCTCAGGGCTGGAATCCACTCCAGTTCTGTCTTCTAGATTTTACCCATCATTTATTGAGTCTCTGATCATCTGTCTGTGTAGTGTTGGTTATGGCTGGTATGAGAGAAACAGGGTGACTATGATTGTGAGTTTCCGTCTCCCTCTTTCTCCTTTCACCTTTTTACCACTGATGGAGAACTTGGGGATTTCCTTTTGAGTGCTCCTAGTCTGTGGCTCTCAGTCCTGGCTGCAGGGAAGTCACTAGAGGGGCCACCTCCTCAGTTCGTTCCATTGGTCTGTGGCAGGGCACAGACCCTCAGGTAGCCTTCCTGGTATATTTAAGGTACATAGGAGAAAAATATATGTGTCGTTATTTCTTATCCTTTACTTCCTTTATACAGATTATAGCATTCCATGCATCTTCTTCTGCATTTTTCTTTCATTATCTTGGAAATCTTTCCTTATCAATGCACAGAAAGCTCCCTTTTTTATGGTTGCATAGTATTCTGTTTATTGAACTAGTTCCCAGTTGATGAATGTTTAGTTTTTCTAATCTTTTGTTATTGCAAATACCACAGTGAATACCTTACTGTGCCTGTATCAGTCTATATCTGTAAAGTCAATTCCCAGAAATAAAATTGTTATATTTGTAAATTTTTTTTTTAATAAATTAATTTATTTTGTTTATTTATTTTTGGCTGCGTTGGGTCTTCGTTGCTGTACACAGGCTTTCTCTAGCTGCGGCCAGCGGGGGCCACTCTTCCTTGCTGTGTGCATGCCTCTCATTGTGGTGGCCTCTCCTGTTGCGGAGCACAGGCTCGGCGCAGGGCTTCAGTAGTTGTGGCTTGTGGGCTCTAGAGCGCAGGCTCAGTAGTTGTGGTGCACGGGCTTAGTTGCTCCACGGCATGTGGGATCTTCCTGGACTAGGGCTCGAACCTGTGTCCTCTGCATTGGCAGGCGGTTTCCCAACCACTGCACCACCAGGGAAGCCCTGTAATTTTGATAGATATTTCCAAATTGCCCACCAGGGAGCTGCCATCAGCAGCGTGCTGCATGTGTATTTTTATGTCAGGTGATCCTGAGGAATAGTTGAGAACCGTTGCCTCAGAACCCACAGTACAGTTGTCCCTTCGTCCCTGCGGGGAATTGGTTCCAGGACCCTTGTAGATACCGGAATCTGCAGATGCTCAAGTCGCTTCCTTATATAAAGTGCTATAGTATTTTCGTATAATCTATGCATCTCCTTCCGTATACTTTTAATCATCTGTTGATTACTTATAATACCCAATACAATGTAAATGCTACGTAAATAGCTGCTAATGCTCAGCAAATTCAAATTTTACATTTTGGAACTTTGTGGAATTTTTTTTTGCAAATACATTTTTGATCCATGGTTGGTTGAATATGCAGATGTGGACCTGCAGTTACAGAGGGCTGACTGTATTCCTATAAATGACTGAAGGGTATTAGCAGTAGAATCACTTTCATGTTTCTAGTGAAGCAGATCTCTAGTGAATTAGAATCTCAGGGAATGGGACCTGGGAATATTCATGTCTAACATTCCCCTGGTTAATTCCTATGTATGAACCCTGCTCTGGGAAATAACAGTTATATAGATTTGAAGTAGACAACAGATGATAAAGTAAGGACTTTGCCATTTTTTCTTTTCTCATTTTAGAGCAATGCCCAAACCTCGTGTTAAAAAGCAACCTAAGACTCAGCGTGGAAAGAGGAAAAAGCAAGATTCTTCTGATGATGAGGATGAAGATGATGAAGCTCCCAAAAGGCAGACTCGCCGCAGAGCAGCTAAAAATGTTAGGTAGGTGATGCCCCAGAAGGTTTTCATTAGTGTGAAGGGAAGGTGATAGTGTAGTTGGCTAGAGCTTGGTTCTGATAAGTCCAGGATTAGGCATTTGATAGGTAAAAATAATGACCTGTGTCTTGAGGTTGTATTCGGAAATCTGGTCAGGGTTCTTGCAAAAAGAATGGTTCTGGCCAATAGGAATATGGAAAGAATAGTGATAACTCACTTCAAGCCTTCATTCCTATGAAGAGAACTGCTTTATTTCAAGTTCATGTTTCGTTGAGGTGGTAGTGATGTTATCTTCATTTTATAACATCCTTTTTTTAGGAAGGACATTAGGATTGTATTTTCACTTTTGAATTGCTGTTTGAATCAGCCAAATTCTTTTAAGTTTCAGCTTATGTATTATTTGGATATAATAATCTTATCAAGCTTATGATACGATATGAAGCATTAATAGAAAATGAAATAAAGGAATAGATATATGCAAACATAAATATTTTACTTTATATGAATCAAAGGGTATTTAATTTCCTTTTAGAGGATATGCAGGTTTCTTTTGGTCTACTTAAAGACGGTGAAGCTGAGTCCTGGAGTTTTTAATAACCTGTTCAATGTATCCAGTTAATACTTTGAAAGCTAGGACTAGGTTTTGAGTATGTTAATATGTAGCTTAGCACTTTTTCCTCCTACAGCTGTACTGCATCCAGAATTGTGTTTTTCTCTTCTGTAACCCCCAAACCATTTGTTGTTAATATATGGTGGAAAGTTACATTTTAATATTTTATTACCAGGAAGTATGCTCAGGAACTTGAGAATACTTAAATTTCATATTCTTGTTATTGGGAGACAAAATGCAGAGTCGATACATTCAATCTTAGACGTATTGCTCTGCTTTTATCTAATGGAATACTAGTAATTTTTTTCATTTATCGTGCATTTTCTTTCTTTGTAGTTGTTTCCTTGTTTATGCATAGTAATGACCTCATTAAAAAATGAAAACAGGGCTTCCCTGGTGGTGCAGTGGTTGAGAGTCCGCCTGCCGATGCAGGGGACACGGGTTCGTGCTCTGGTCCGGGAAGATCCCACATGCCGCGGAGCGGCTGGGCCCGTGAGCCATGGCCGCTGAGCCTGCACGTCTGGAGCCTATGCTCCGCAACGGGAGAAGCCACAGCAGTGAGACGCCCGCGTACCAAAAAAAAAAAAAAAAATTTCATTAACCTGTATTGGGTGGATCTC